AAATTTTATTTAAAAAATTATTTTTTTTTTTCAAATCAATACACCATTAATGCTAATAATAAAAGTTTAAACATGTGATTTTCCATCTCATCTCCCATTTTTTTTACAAACTTAAACCATTTCCTATAATACACTTAAAAAAATTATTATTAAAAAAAATTTTATAATTTAAACTAAACTCTAGGATGATTATTGAAGAAGGAGGGATGTTTGGGTAGCTTGCTAATACGAAGTTGTTTTTCTTTTATTAGCGAATGTGTAGACTTATGTATGGGGGGAAGAGTGAGTGAGTGAGAAAGAGAAAGGAAAGGGTATCTTTAGGAAGTCAGCAAACACCACGCTTTTGCTTCCTCAACTGAACAACCTAACGTTATTTAGGCTCTCTGGTTGCGTGACTGTTGCTCTAATTCTCTGCTTCCTCTTTTTAGGTTCTTGAGCACCAGCGAATCTCTTCTGGTTTTATCATCTTCTTCCTCTCTTTTTTTTTTACCTCTTGGCTTCTTCTCCTCAAGTTCTCTTAAACTGAAATTCATCCTCTTATACCAATTCAGGCACCAAGTCCCGTAAAGGAAGGGGAAAAGGTAAGGAGCCCACTAAGCGTGCCAAATATACAAAGGAAATGCTATATAAGAACCCACCTTCTCCCTTATCATAGCTCTCTCCATTTTTTTGCCTCTTACTCTGAGTTGTGAAAACAGTGTCTTTGAATTTGTTTTCTTCTGGTGGGATTCCTCTCTGAGGGTGTTATTATATCGTGTTTTGGATTGAAATTGTTGGTTTTAAGGATTTTAATGGGTCGTGGGTCTCTTTTTGGGTTTGCCATCTGTTTGTGTTTTTGCCTTGGTAGCTGAGATCTTAAGGGGTCTGACTATGCAACTCGTTCCTGGCTTGATTTTCCCTTTAGAAGCCAAAACAAAAAGCTTGTTCCTGATGATTCAAGATGTGGGTCTTCTTGGTTTTGGGCTCTGGTTAAATTACTGTTAAGGTGTGTGGCAAGTTTCTAGCATTTTTTTCCATACGCATGACATGCCAGTAGTTGTGTTCTTGTTGGTTTCATGATATTTAGTCCTCTAACTTGTGATGCTTTCACATTTTCTCAGTTTTCTGCAGTTTCTTGCCCTTAGAAGTTAGACAAGGTGATTTTCATCTGTTTTGCTTTCTTTTATATCTGCCCCTACATCCTGAGAAGAAGATGGAAAGTGGTTGCTCAAAGAATGGTGAAGCTTGTCCTCAACTGCTGGATTTGATTTCTAAAGAGAGAGGAGAGTGGCATGTAAGGAGAGATGATGGAGCCTCAGAGGAAAGGAAGCTAGAACTAAGACTTGGTCCTCCGGGTGAAGAAAACTGGGCCCAAAAAGATGGCTCCAAGAACAACAACAGAGAAAGAGATGAATCTCGTCTCTCACTTGGGTACTTCTCTTCTGCTGCCATAAGCAACAATGGAAACAAGGCACAACAGGGCTTTTCTTCCTTAGAGAACCGTCCAGTTGGGTCAGTTTTGTCCTCTTCTTGGGTGCAGCCCCACCAGCAGACAAAGGTTCCTTCATTTCTTCAGTTCCCATCAACAGCCCCACAGAGCTTGCTTGTTACCGCAAAGGAATCGTCACAGCCCTGTTGCACTAAACGGGTAGACCTGCAGAATGCAGAAAAGAAAGCATTTTCACCGGCGTCTGCAAATACAACTGTGACCAGCAGCTCTCAGAAAAGGTACTCCAGCTTTTTATCCCCTCTCTTTCTCTCTCATATGATGCTTTTTTTTTTTCATCAGAGTTATTTTTAACTCCTACTTAAATTGAGTCATAATGCAAGAATATATGTTTTGTGGTCCATGGATCATGCATACTTGTTTCCTCTCTCTATGTTCCTTTATTCCTTACATGAATTGATCTGCATTTCTTTAATTTAATGAAGCTTTAATGCAAATATCCAGTTTTGTCATCATTCACGCCTTCAAATTTTCATGTTTTATTGATCTGGCTTGTTCTTGGTGGCCCTTATCTTCTTTTGGCAATTCATGCATAATCTCTTATCTCCCATTTTGGTGTAAGTTTTGCTTTTTCTCTGTTACCAACTGTTTTCATTTCCAGTTTTCTTGTTTTCCATTCTATTTTCGGATTGATTATCTGATATATTACATGCTATTCTGCATTTCCTGATGTATAAATTTGTTTGCCTCTAGAAATTACTTCTCTTGTGTATATATATATATGTGTGTGTGTGTGTACCTACTTCTGTTTTTTATTATTGACATATCTCCTGGTGAAAGGTGCTTGTGTTCTATTGTAATTAAACCTATTTATCCCGTATTTTTTTTTTCTCTGATTTTCTCTTTTTGATCTCAAAATAGAACTGCTCCTGCTTCAGTTGTGGGTTGGCCTCCAGTTCGTTCCTTTAGGAAAAACCTTGCAAGCAGCAGTTCCTCAAAATTGGCCACTGAACCACCAAATGTGGTGCCACACAAGGGTTCTGGTGAAAAACCACCTGCTGAAACTAGTAACAAAAGTCCCTTTGTGAAGATTAACATGGATGGAGTCCCAATTGGAAGGAAAGTTGATCTCAGAGCCTATGAGAGCTATGAAAAGCTCTCTACTGCCATTGATGAACTCTTCCGAGGCCTGCTTGCAGGTTACATATTTTATTTTGCTGGTTACTAACTAATGATATCATTTTTGTATTAACATGATTTGCATCTTGTTACCTAATAGCCAAGGATTATCATATATCAAATTGCTTATTTCAAGGGTATAATTTTGGACTGGATTCCCTTGTTCTTTATTCTGATTTGAGCACTTTGGCATATGTCAATACGTACCTGGTGCATATGTGTAGTTATCTCATTACCTTGTCTTTTTACTTGTCTGTTTAGCTCAAAGAGATTCCTCTGCTGGAGGAATAGTGAACAAGCATGAGGAAGAGAAAGCGATTACAGGCTTATTAGATGGGAGTGGGGAATATACTCTTGTTTACGAGGATAATGAAGGAGACAGGATGCTTGCTGGGGATGTCCCGTGGCAGTAAGCAACTCATTACTGTGGATCTGATGCATTTTAAGATTATACTATTCCATTTTATATTCCTCCACTTAGAGATTGTGCCTATTACAGAACACTATCAAATTCATCTTTGTCATTTAGTTTGTCCTGGAAAAACAGCATTAGATTCTTAAATCTCAACATCAGATTCCCCTTTACTTGATCATAAGAATAGTATTTGTTTATGCATGCTATTCTTTTTATTTTTCGAATATGTACCTTCCATACAGCTTTCTATTAAATTCACACAAATCATTTTGTTATTCTGATTTTGAAAGTTGGCTTTGCAGCATGTTTGTCTCAACCGTGAAGAGGCTACGCGTGTTAAAGAGATCTGAACTTTCTGCACTACGCCGTGAGTGTTAATATAGAAAATCCCTTGATTGTATTGACGCTAAACAAACAGTTTTTAAGAGTTTTTCTGAGACTAACTAGAAAACTGGCATTTGGTGTTTGTAGTTGGAAGCAGAAGACCAAGGCAAGATTTCAACTTTAGTCTACCATGAAATGAGAAGTTTTTTCTTCCTAAGATTCTCTTGACAAAATTGTCTGTAGGAGAGACATGATTTGTGTTCCTTTTTTTGACATTTTGCTCTCCTTATCTAGCATGAAACTTGTTGCGCCCGCAGTGTATATTATTATCAAATGTTTCTCATATGTACCTTTTTTGACTTCTTCCCTTTGTTTGACACGCTGTTGCTTAGATTAATGCAATTTTTATTTTTCGGCCTTCTACATTCGTGCAATTTTGAACAATGGTTGATACGATATCCTCAAATGTGATGTAACCATGATTTTATTGCCTAGTACTTCTATTACAAAACGAAGGAATTATGTTTTTTTTTTTTTCTCTAATACGTATACTTAACCTTTGAGTTAATTAATACCACGAGTGCTTACAAACTAAGAATAACCTGCTATAAAGTTGATGCACCTTTCCTTTTTACCCCTTCTTTTAATTTTTTATGGTTTGATGGACCTCCCTTTTTCCCTTTTGATTCCATTGAAACCTACTCTCTTTTTTACTATCCATTCAAAGGTTCCTTTTTGCTTTGGTGGGGAAAAAGCAGAGGAAATTCCACCCATTCTGTTTCCCACCCAAGCCAAATGAAAGTGATGCCCCCAAGACTCTTTTCAGAGCAAACTTTCCCTATCAACCTCAGTAGACAAATTCTCTACATCTCTTGGATTGATTTCAAGTTTGAAGGTGTGAATGTGTCATGGAGGGAGGGACCTAAAAGAAAAGGGACAAGAGTTGTGTATTTTGGGGAGGAATGAAGTGTCTTTATCATTGAGAGCTGCCTAACTTTGGACCCAGAAATTAGACATTTGGAACAGTCCTCTATGTATGAGGACTTCTGTTTTCTGTGTGAGGGCAGTAGTTTCAACTGCACGTGTGGCCTTGCCGGCATTCATCATGCCTGACAGCTTGAGGTTGGTTGAGTTTGGTCGGACACGTGTGGCATTGCCGGGGCGTTCATCATGCCTGATAGCCTGAGATTGGTTGAGTTTGGTCAGACAACATGTGTGCTTGTTGACTCTAATTAGAGACTTCCTTGTAAGGAAGGGAACTAGGAATTTTAGTCGTCCGTGGAACTCTTTGTGCCCCTGTTTTGTTTATTTTGTTGTGTGCTAGTATGTGATAGAGACTCAATGAACAAAGCTGTTCCATTTTTGCAATAAATTGCACGATGGATTGTTACCCCCTGAAGAAAAGAAGTTATCAAATGACAGGATTTATACGCTGTTCATTTCTGGTTGCTCCCTTCATTCAACCTCAGTAATTATAGTTGAATTTTTGGATTTTTTTTAATGAAAAATAAAGATTCAATTGAAAAAAAAATAAAAAATGAGATTACATCATAATCTCTATAGCATAGCACTACAACTTAAGACATAAATATAACCTACAATACTAGTTACAAATTTAAACTATTCGTAATAAATTTAGACAATTAAATAAAGAAAATTATCTAAAACTAAGAATTGCTTTAGCAATCAGCTACATGGGCATAACAAGGTTACAGATGTAGAAAGAAAGTTACTATAACCATCTTGAGTTATTGGATATTCACACTTATTAAGTCAACTTTTTAAAAAGAGTAAGTAATTAGGTTAATAACAGTTTCCACTCACTAATAGCCCTAATTCCATATGAAAATTTAATAAAACATATGAATAACAACTGAATTTTTTTTATATATATTATTCTTGTTGAGTTGTTTTATTTGATAAAAAATAAATTTAGTTTTCATTTATATATTATATATACTATATTATTATCTCATCCATCCCAAAATAATAAACAGTTTTTTTTATTTAGAATTCATCCTAAATTAATAATTATTTCTTCTTATTTTAAGGGAAATAACTTTTTTTTTACTTCAATTTTATGATTATCTCTTAACTTTAATTATCTATTCTCTATTTAAAATAATTGTTTTTATTTATTTTCAAAGATAAAATAAATAAAAATAAAAATTATTCATAAATTTTTAATTTAAAAATAAAAATAAAAAAATA